AAGCATGGATTTGGTGGGAAGTGAGAGGCAACTCCACAAATGGACGGAGTGTGCCCCAGTCAGGGTCAATGTGGAGTGGGTGAGAATGGGAAAGGCTGTTGTATAGCACAAACATACCCATGCTCATGCCACAACGGGGTGTCTGAACATGTCTGTGCGTCCCTCCGCTCTCAAGGTCTGGCATACACTGTCAGACGGACACAGAGCAACTGCTTCTAGCCCTTACCCAAAGAGGAAGTTGAGGAAATTCTGCAGTAACTGAAGAAAGGAAGATAATATAAACCCTTTCATGTTTTTCTTTAGCCAACATCTAGGAATTTTTCCCCCAGTTTCCCATTCACAAAGAAAAAGTGGTCAAGGAAGTATCCAGGGTCAATGTGGAGTGGGGGAGAATGGGAAAGGCTGTTGTATAGCACACACGTACCCATGCTCATGCCACAACGGGGTGTCTGAACACGTCTGTGCGTCCCTCCGCTCTCAAGGTCTGGCATACACTGTCAGGCGGAGACAGAGCAACTGCCTCTAGCCCATACCCAAGAGGAAGTTGAGGAACTTAAGATTTAATGAATGAATGAAAGACTCAATAGTTGGTACTCACTAAATATTTGAATAAAAAGAAAGCCAGTTAGTACAAGCCAACCTGTCCAGAGTAATGGAGAAGGCAAAGTGGACTGAAACATCTTTCTTTTCCACCTTATTGTTCTTTACTCCATTTGCTATTGGCTAAATTAGCCCATTGCTTTCTGTTTAAACTCATCAAATTTAGCTATAGGCATCTATATGGGTTCACTCATTATGTGAGACATTATAAAAGCATGGATTTGGTGGGAAGTGAGAGGCAACTCCACAAATGGACGGAGTGTGCCCCAGTCAGGGTCAATGTGGAGTGGGGGAGAATGGGAAAGGCTGTTGTATAGCACACACGTACCCATGCTCATGCCACAACGGGGTGTCTGAACACGTCTGTGCGTCCCTCCGCTCTCAAGGTCTGGCATACACTGTCAGGCGGAGACAGAGCAACTGCCTCTAGCCCATACCCAAGAGGAAGTTGAGGAACTTCTGCAGTAACTGAAGAAAGGAAGATAATATAAGCCCTTTCATGTTTTTCTTTAGCCAACATCTGGGAATTTTCCCCCCGTTTCCCATTCACAAAGAAAAAGTGGTCAAGGAAGTATGTCTTGATTTAATAAAGGCCAATTGTGTCTTTACCAGACAATGCCTCTTTCTGGCAAAAGATTTAAAATCTGATCTTGCTATTCCCTTTAATTCTTTTGGTGAAGATGTCCACACTATAAAACAATTCCAGAGTGTGCCATTCTAATGGCGTGTTAGGGAAGTGATGGGGGCTAGACTTTTAAAAAATTTTCTTTGGAAATAATTTTGAACTTACAGAAAAAGAATTAAAATATGCCCACAGTGGTAATCTGCTCATTCACACAATTGCTTTTCCTTTCCTGTCTCATTTCCCCACTCCCCTAAGATTTTGCCTTGAATCATCTACCAAATAAATTACTTGGACCTAAATCCTTGTTTCAGGGTCTATTTTGAGGGGATCCCATAGTAAATAGCCACCAAGAAATAAAACTTATTGATTGGCTCATACATCTGGTACCTCCTGCTCAAACCTTATGCATTTATAAAGATGGCAACAAGCCACTAAATCCACAGGCAATTAATAGTACTAATAAGGCATATGGTTTCATTAATGGGCTAATTAGAATGTTCTACTGCAAGGGTGGGGAACCTTTTTTCTGCCAAAGGCCATTTGGATATTTATAACATCATTCTCAGACCAGACAAAAGTATCAACTTAAAAATTAGCTGCTATATTTGGTCAAACATTTAATTAACTCACCCCTAACACCTTGGCAGGGCCAGACCAAATGATTTTGTAGTCCTTATATGGCCCACGGGCCAGATGTTCCCCACCCCTGCTCTACTTGGACATATAAGGTGCCACTGCTAAGATGCTAGCATCAAGGTCTGTGTTCACTTGCTTGCTTGCTTGCTTGGCCAATGCATGGACACAGTATAAATAACTTACAAGTGTTTGGAAAAAATATTTAATCATTCGAGGCTTAGGTTTCTTCCACAGACCACAGGGCTAAGAACACAGCAGTCAAGCCTCCCTCAGCATATGCTTTATGACTTATAACTCACCAAAAGCATAAAAACTGCAAGTCTTTTCCATGCTAACTTGGAAAAGTCCTGTAAATTTATGACAGCAAATTCCAACCAACATAAAAGCTTTTGCCTCTTCTCCTTCCAGCTGAATTGTATTCGTGCCAGACACGAGAGCCAAGGTACTGAGAGAAGCAAGAAATGACATTTTTACAGAATTCAGATCTTTCTCCTAAAATGTAGGAAAATAAACACATCAATGCAATTGACAATTTATTCATCCCACTTGCTGCTCATATTTCATTCTGACGAGCATGAGCAACTGGTATGCGCAGGTGCCATGTCTAACCAACGGAGGCGGCTGCCAAGGTGGTCACAAGTTGTCCTTGTGGAAGGAACAAGCTCAACAGCTCCACACACCTCATGAGTCCACGGTGACCGAAGCTATGGGATGCGATAAGGCAACAATCCCAGCTGAGGTCTGAGCTGACAAAGTGGTGTGCATCTTTTAATAACCATGTCCGCTCCCATTAATAACAACCTAGAACAGTGATGGCGAACCTTTTGAGCTCAGCGTGTCAGCATTTTGAAAAACCCTAACTTAACTCTGGTGCCGTGTCTCATATAGAAATTTTTTGATATTTGCAACCATAGTAAAACAAAGACTTATATTTTTGATATTTATTTTATATATTTAAATGCCATTTAACAAAGAAAAATCAACCAAAAAAATGAGTTCGCATGTCACCTCTGACACGCGTGTCATAGGCTCGCCATCACTGGTCTAAACTATATGACATTAAACTGATGGAAGCTGTTAGCAGAGCCCAGCAAGGACCCACGATTCAGAGTCAGAATGATGGACTTGACAATAAGCTAAGTGAGTGGGAGACACTGCCATTCACAGGATGTTCAGTGGTGAAAGGAACAAGAAATCAAGCCCACAGCATCTACTAAATGCAAAAAGATTTACACATGCGCCTTTTAGATAGCAGGCACACGGAACTTCCAATGGCGTGAGGTTCTCAGCAATCTTCCAAATGTAAACAAAAAAAAATGTGTGTTAGCTTATGTTTTTTGTACAGGTCAGGCTCTTCAAACTATTTTTCATGTATTAATTTGTTGCTATTTCACAGCTAGGTTATCAATTGAGAAATACTCTTTTCATATTTTACAGGTGAAAATCCATGACACAGAGAGTTTAAGTAACATTTCCAATGTCAAATGACCGTTAGTAAACTAAGTTGCTGGGATTAAATTCCAAGCAATTTAGCATCAGCGTCCATCCTCTCACAGTGGAAGTTCATCCTTATGGTCCACAATTCAATAAGTTGCACTTTGCAATATTGAAACCCCCTTTGTCAGTCAGGAAGCTAAGACTGGCTTACATGTACAAAGTCCTTCACCCTACATGATGCTTTTACATTTGATTTCCCAACAACCAGTGGGGAAGGGAGAACAGGAAGAACCACACAGCTTACATGAGTTGTCCAAGGCAAAATAGCTTGTTTCCCTCTAGTGTGTGTCTCTCTCTCTCTCTCTCTCTCTCTCTCTCTCTCTCTCACGCAAAAGTGCCAATGAGGAAGCTTCTCGGGTTTCCGTCTGCACCCTGTGCTTCTGCCATGGTCATAAGAGCTTCCCTCCGGTAGCCTCAGCCACAGCTGGACTTAGAATGTTAGCAGGTGGAGCAGGCCTGAACCTAGACCTTGGCAAGAATCCAAGTCTCGCTGGGCCTGTGCAGGAAGCAGAGTCACCCAGCTAAGTCCAGCCTAGATCAGCCAGTCCCCCTACGTACATTAGCCAAACCCCAGCCAACCTTTAGTTGGTGAGCTAAATCGCAGGTGGAGCAGGCCTGAACCTAGACCTTGGCGAGAATCCAAGTCTCGCTGGGCCTGTGCAGGAAGCAGCGTCACCCAGCTAAGTCCAGCCTGGATCAGCCAGTCCCCCCACGTACATTAGCCCAACCCAGATCAGCCAAACCCCAGCCAACCTTTAGTTGGTGAGCTAAATAAATGCTTATTATGAATGTGTGCACTGACTTTGGGGTGGTGTGTTGCACAGCAAGAACTGATGCAGAGCCCTAGCTGGTTTGGCTCAGAGGATAGAGCGTCAGCCTGTGGACTGAAGTGCCCCGGGTTCGAATCTGGTCAAGGGCACATTGCCCGGGTTTCTGGCTCAATCCTCAGGGGGGCATGCAGGAAGCAGCCAATCAATGGTTCTCTTTCATCATGGGAGAGAGATGTTTCTATCTCTCTCACCCTCTCCCTTCCTCTCTAAAATCAATGAAAATACTTTTTTAAAAGAAAAGAACTGATGCAGAAAACATATGGGAAGCTCAGGAAGCCAAGGGGAAAAATGAACAACAGGTTTTTCCACTTTCCTTCCCTGGGCAAATGGGTGGCAACATGCAGGACCCAATTATGAAATTCACAATTACTTTTAAAAGGTCCCCATGATTTCTCTATAAATACCCCAACTTCTGTGTCCCTTAAGCGGGACAAGTCCAGGATGTATCCTACACAGTCTGTCACAAACCCCAGTAAGATTGACCCCAATTGCCCACAGTGGTCACCTGCTCACTGTCACAACCTGAATGGCCTGTCTCCTCCCTTCCCGATCCCATCGCTCAACTCCCTCACTGTGCTTCCGGGAATCACTGCCCATACAAATACCTGCACCCTAATTCTTGACCCAAACGAAGACACAGCTCACTTTTACAAATAATGAACATTCATCAGCATTTCAATGTGCTAGGTGCTGTGACACACAGATGACTTCACCTCTCGGTGCCTCAGTTTTCTCATCTATAAAATGGGGACAAAAACAGTGCTGTTGTGAGGAAAGAACATGTAACGTGCCTAAGACAGGACCCAACTTACAGCTGCTGCTTTCAAGCAAGACTTGCTTCTCCTTATGATGATCAGACTTCTAAGCTGCACCTGCTGGTGTTGGAAAGAACAGGTGGATGGAGAAAAAGAGAGAATGAGGAGAAAAGGAATGAATTCCATCTTCGAGAAACCAACTTAAATCTCAGTCAGCTGATGGCAGCACAGACCCCTAACTGAACAGTGAACAGGGAGGACAAAAGCTAAAGCGAAGCATTCTCCATCGATGGTGTTTTGTTAGGGAAGTTCTGTTGCATGGAGGGAAGAGACACCTGAGGACCCGAGGAGATAAAGGAGGGGCGTCCAGGGGAAGAAGCCGGTGGGGTTGTGTTTCTTGGTGCAGGTGACTAAGCATGGGAGGGGTTCCCAGAGGAACTGCCTGAGTAATATTTCCAACGGGCTTAGCAGTGACGAAGGACTTGTGAGACACGGAGGACAAAAGCTAAAGCGAAGCACTCTCCATCGATGGTGTTTGGTTAGGGAAGTTCTGTTGCATGGAGGGAGGAGACACCTGAGGACCCGAGGAGATAAAGGAGGGGCGTCCAGGGGAAGAAGCCGGTGGGGTTGTGTTTCTTGGTGCAGGTGACTAAGCATGGGAGGGGTTCCCAGAGGAACTGCCTGAGTAATATTTCCAACGGGCTTAGCAGTGACGAAGGACTTGTGAGACAGCATAGGGACACCAATAAGCCAACCACAAGAATGTATCTCCCCTCCATTCCCTAGGAAAAACATCTTATCTACCTTCTAATCACTTTTTTTTCTTTTTATAAAATATATTTTATTGATTTCAGAGAGGAAGATGGGGGAGGGGGGAAGAGAGAGAGAGTGAGCGATAGAAACATCAATGATGGGAGAGAATCACTGATTGGCTGCCTCCTGTATGCCCTATACTAGGGATGGAGCCTGCAACCCGAGCATGTGCCCTGACTGGGAATCGAACCATGACCTCCTGGTTCATAGGTTGATGCTCAACCACTGAGTCACACCAGCCAGTTTCTAACCACTTTCTAGCAGATGTGGAAACCACTTCTCCGCACCTACAGTTGGTCAAGATTTGGCGGATACATGACTTTCCTGGGGTGGTGGTAATGAGCGACATTGCCATCTTGCTCCCACAGCCCACAGGCACAAAGGTAGTTGCCAAGCAACTGGACAGAGGAGGAAATCACCCCATCCTGACATGGAAATTTCCACTCCAGAACCCCTTGCAAGACCACCTTTTTCACAAGCCTGCTTTCCCACACAAGCCCACCTTGTCCCAGCTTATAAAAGTAGCCAAGCAAAGCAAGCCTCTGAGTGCTTAAGCAGCATAAGCTTAATAGAATCTGTCTGGAAATTTCTCTGGGGTTTTCTCTCAATTTCTATCTTGTGGAACCCAAGAATCCCAACACCAGTACTGCTTGGGTCTGATGGGCAGAGGACTAGACCTGCTCCAGACACTATCAGAGCACTCCTTGGGGTACTGTGAAATAGGGCGCTCAAACCTGGGGGGGCGTCATGATCCTCTACTCTGTGTCCACCTCGGCATCTTGTTCTCCTCAATCCAGTTCGTTTTCTCTTATTATAAATCATGCAAATGGTTTCCTTTCCACAATCTCTGTTTCTCTCAATTGCTATCTTGTGGAACCCAAGAACCCCAACACCAGTACTGTTTGGGTCTGATGGGCAGAGGTCTAGGCTTGCTCCAGACACTATCAGAGCACTCCTTGGGGTACTATGAAATAGGGCGCTCAAACCTGGCCTCTGGGGGCCTCATGACTCCTCTACTCTGTGTCCATCTCGGCATCTTATTCTCTCTTCTCAATCCAGTTCATTTTCTCTTGTTATAAATCATGCAAATGGTTTCCTTTCCACAATCTCTATTGTAATGGTAGTTCCCTCAGCACAATATTTGCATTTTACTTGGTGTTGTAGGTTGCAGAGATGGCCACAGTTCTCCACCCTCCCTGAATGCCTGCTCTTTGCAAGATGGCTTTGCAACTCTTCCCATCAAGGCCTCCTTCTCAGGGAGACAAGTCTGTATCAATAGAGATGAGTCTATTTCGCATCTTGAATCTGGACTGGCCTGTGACTTGCTTTGGGCCAACAGAATGTGGCAGAAATGGCCTTGTGTTATTCTCAAGCCTCAGGAAGCCATGCATGTTCACTTTGCTGGAGCCCTGACTAACCTGCTGAAGGGTAGAGACATGTAGAGCTAAGGAGCCATCCCACTGAGGCCATCCTCGACCAGTCAGCTCCCAGTCAACCTGGAAGCTGACTGAAGACTCGAGAGGCAACCCAGCTGACCTAGCTAGACCGGCTGAGCCCAGCCCGAAATGCCCACCTACAGAATCATGAACTAAATAAATGGCTATTATTTGAAGCTACTAAGGTTTCGAGTGGTTTGTTAGGCAGCAAAAGCTAACTGGTAGATTAGGCAATATAAATATAATTAAGGAATTATACTTATCTAACAGTTAGCCTGCATTTATTTATCCTTCTCAATTAAAAAAATCCTCATATTCTAATCCTGCTGCTGCATCCATTATTATTGGAGCCTTATCCTATATAATAAAAGCCTAATATGCTAAGTGTCCAGTTGTCCATTCAACCAATCAAAGCGTAATATGCTAATGATATACTAAGGCCGCTCAACCGCTCCCTATGACGTGCACTGACCACCAGGGGGCAGACAGTCGACTGGTTGACCAGTCGCTATGATGTGCACTGACCACCATGGTTTCAGCCTGATCCCGCAGGCATAAAAGGCTAATATGCAAATCGACCGAATGGCAGAACAACCAGTCGCTATGACATGCACTGACCACCAGGGGGCAGATGCTCAGTGCAGGAGCTGTCCCCATGGTGGTCAGTGTGCTTCCACAGGGGGAGTGCCACTCAGCCAGAAGCCGGGCTCATGGCTGGAGAGCGCAGTGGTGGTCGCGGGACTGTGCAGGCTGGGCTGAGGGACTCCCCCTCCTCGAGTGCATGAATTTCGTGCACCGGGCCTCTAGTAACTAATAAGCATAGGGAAAATATTGGAGATTTTACCGTAGACAATGTAAAGAGTTGTTCAGTGTTCTCAAGCGGCTGCCATGACAGGCACACACATATATAAATACAAGGTGAAAGACAAGTGCCACCAATCCTATGGCAAAGGCTGACCAGAATGTAAGCAGAAGTTACATATGCCATATTTCAACATTCACATCAAAGTCAATTCTCCAATTTCACATCTGGAAATATTTTCCACTTGGATAACAACCTAGTGAAAAGTAGTGTCTCAGAGCCCTGCCAGTTCCTGGTATTGTTTAGTTTACTGTTGCATTTTATTGAAGTTACTTATTCATAAAAGTCACACACAAAGATGTTTTATCTAACAGGAAAGATAGAGGAAATGAAGAAGAAACCTCTGGCCTCCAAAGACAAACCTTTAGCGTCAAGATAAGTCTCATGCCCAGAATTTTGCACTTCTTCTTATTATCATCCTCAAAAAAAAAGAAATCACATACAATGCTCTTTGGTATTTATTTAACTGGCATTTATTCATTGTCTACCACAGGTTAGAGTTTGTGCTATAAGAAATGAGGGATATAAGACATAGGCCAAGCCCTGACCTCAAGGAGCCTGAAGTCAAACAAAAATTAGAAACATTGATGATATAGAATCATTCAATTCACAAATGATTATTATTTTACATGATATGAAAAAAAAATATATCTCCTGTAACCGGAGCAGAAACCACAGAATCTAAACTCATGGAGAGAAAGCAGATGGCTTCCTGAGAGAACTGCATGTTTAAACCAATACCAATCACACTGATCTAGGGTTCAAATTAAGGAAACAGAGTCCCAACACACTATGCAAAGTTATTTCTCCAAAGTTACTCTCTTGTCCCCAAATCGGTTTGCTTTCTCTAAGAACAGTTATGTCTGAGGGGCAGGAAAGTCCCAGCTCCTGGGCCAGAAGGAGGGAGCAGTTGGGGCAAGGGTGGATCTCACAAGCCCTAAGTTCAAATCCCATCTCGTTGTGTGGCCTTGGTTAAGTCACTTCATCTTATTTGTAAATGAGTGTAATGACATCTACCTTAGGTGGTGCTGTAGCGGGTTTCAATGAGATCACTCAAAACAATGACAATGTTTGTTTTGCTCCTGAATCTGCTGGGGGGCAGGGCTCAGCAGGAAGATTCATCAAGGCCAGTTTGTCCCAGCTCTACTCAACATCAATGGGAGCAGCTCCAAGGCTGGGGCTGGGGCCTTACAAAGCTGCATTCACAGGTCAGTGGGATTTAGGTGGGGTTGTCAGCTGGAGTATCTCCACATGGCCTTCCTGTGGAGCCTGGGCTTCCTCACATCACGGTGGCTGGTCTTAAAGGCAAGTGGCCCAAGAGAATGAGAGAGCCAGGTGGACACCATGTTACCCATGCTGATCTCCACTTTGAAGTTACTCATGTCACTTTTGCCCATTCTCTCTGTCAAGGCAGTCACTGAGTCCTACACAGATTCCACCACCACCAAGAGAAAAAAAAGTAAAATTCCTGGCTTGATGGGGTGTGGGAAGATTCTGGAAGAGCAGCAATAATTCTGTGGCCATTTTTGGAAAATATGATCTGTCCTAGTGACCTATATTGATATCCCTTTCAATGTGGAGATCTATGATTATATGAAAAAAATAGATGAAAATTGGGGATAAGAAGAAAGGTAAATAGGAAATATATGACAAAGGGAGAAAGAGGAGTAAGGCTTTTACAGTGGGGTGGAGCCCCACCATCATGACTATCCTCTCTCAGTAACTGACCCGGTTGTTCGTGCCCCCTGGTATCCCCCCATCTAGCATGTGGGCAACAGCACTGCCTATCCCATAGTGCTATTGTGATAATTCAATGAATTAATCCATTAAAGTGCTTAGAGTGGTGCCTGGCACATAGCGTTCCATAAATGTGAGCAGTTGTATTTTATGTTCTTGGGGCTCCTGAGCTCTCCTGATCTTGGCTTGGCCCTGTGGTCAATGCATTATAAACTGAATCCTTCCAATAACCTGGATATAGGTACGCATCCAGCCCTCTGATGGGGGAAGTTACACCCACACCAACACAACCAAGCTAGAACACACAGAATTCCCATCCTACTGAAGAACTCGGCAATGAAAAGCAATCGTTGGGTGCCACACACTGGGTTTTATAATTTGTTACATACCCTTCACAGCAGCATTTCTTCTCGTCTCCCAATTTAGTCCAGCTCCAACCTCCCCAACATCATCAAGGACTTGCACATTTTATCTTTTCCAGTAGAAGTTCAGAAGTCTGGATCTCTTGTGTCCATCTACAACACAAAGAATCAAATATTTAGAGTTTCTTATGCATTTTAAAAAAATACCATGAACACCACACAGAGGACTTGCCTTCTCCCTTGGCCCTGGGAGGAGGCCCTGAAGGACAGGAGCACAGTGAATGGCTTTCCATCCTAGTCTGATCCCTCATCCCGACCTCTGAGCCAGGTGCCTGAAGAGGGACCTTCTTTACAGAATGTTCTCTAAATCCCTATGCCAATGCTCCGATTACTAAAACTCCAAATAGTCTTCCACTTAAAAAGAAACAAACAAAAAACGTACTAATCAGCAATGGTTAGTCAATTCGTATTTTCATTCAATTAAGTGACAATTTGTGTATTCCTTTACCCCTTGCATCAAATGAGCTCATACAAATTTAAACAGTCCTGCAATCTTCTAGTCTAGGATTTAAAGATAGAAATAACCTGAATATGAAATTCTAAAATGATCCCCTATTTCATTTTTTTTTTGCATCAATACCATACCTTTTCAAAGTTAAGTACATAAATGCAGTCATCTAACTTGCAAACAAGCAGAAAACCAAGCACAAGTATAAGATCAAAGCTTAAGTTCCTTTGATGATCAGCACTAATACCTGTAGCCAGGATCCTTGTGAGAGGTGAGCACTGTTATAACGTGGGATTATATCTTCACAGATCTGTGCATTCAAATATTCAATATCTCTCTCAATGTGTGTGGTTCTTTCCTAAAGAAATATTTAATATGTGTCATCCTGCACCTTGTTTGTTTCACTCTCAGGATGTCTTATCACACATCCCTACATCAGGGTAAGACGATGATCTCATTTTAAAAAACTCTGATTAATATTTCACAATCTCAACTCCTCCATCAGGCTATATAACTGAACTGTGACTTCCTCCCTTGCTTTACTCCCTGGCCGGTGTTACACACATTCCATCCCTTCCTTCATTCTCTAGATATAAATTTCTGGCCTAGGATATCCTCCCTGTCCCTCTGTAATTGAGAAGATTAGCTCTCAGGCCCAGAGGCAACATACTTGGGCTTGAATCTCAGTTGAGAATTTCAGAAAAAGTACTTAATTTTTACTCACTTGGATTCCCTATGTATTAAGTGGGATGACTGTAACAGCACCTACCTCAAAGGGTTATTCTAAGGATCAAATAAAATAATCCATGGAAAGCATAGTCCCACTGCAGGGCATTTACTAAATGCTCAATAAATCACCAACATCAGTCACTGTCATCATTATCATCACTTTTATTTCTTTTGGTAATAATTTAAATCCCAATGTCCATCATCATCATCACCTTTTATTTCTTTTGGTAATAATTTAAATCCCAATGTCTTCTTAATTCAGATTTTCCCCTGAACTTCTACTTCACATGTAGATAGGACTACTAAAAATGATCCCTATAAACTTTAAGTTCCATTTAATTCACAATGTCTTCTCATCTTTGCTCTCTGGACTCAGGATGAGCTGCAGTCACACAGAGCAAATGAAGCCAGAAGCAAAGGAAGGCTCTCCTTCTACGGTATAAAAATTGTAGTGCTTCCTCCATTACATTGTTTATATTATTATATGAAATAAGTATGCACACATACAATAACTAAATATCTCATTCTCATGAACCTGTAAAATTATACCAAGCAACTTTATAAATTAACTAAGAACAAAAATGTAAATACTATACTTAGAAGTAACAAGAGGGGTCCAAGATGGTGGCGGAGTATTTCGAAGTTACACTCACCTCCTCCCAGGTCCAAACCGGAATGACAACTAAACTGTAGAACAATCAACCTAAATAACCACTGAAAACTAGCTGAACAGAGTCTTATAAACTAGGATTTTCCAAAGAAGCCACATCCAGGCTGGTAAGAAGGGCAGAGAGGTGATAAAAGCTGGCCCCACACACATGCGCGGCCATTGAAAAATCAAAGAAATATCTCGCCTTAAGGGTCTCCCCTGAGGAGTGAGGGGTCTCAACACCCAGAGCACCAGAGCCAGGAAGAGTAGCCCACTAATATCTGGCTATAAAAATCAGCGGGGAGCCCTAGCTGGTTTGGCTCAGTGGATAGAGCTTTGGCCCTGGGACTGAGGGTTCCAGGTTCCATTCTGACCACCGCCCCCATGAGGAAGCAACCAATCTATCTGTTTCTCTGTCTCCCCCGCTTCCTTCTACTCTCTCTAAAAATCAATGGGAAAAAAAAAAACATCCTAGGGTGAAGATTAACAAAAAACAAACAAACAAACAAACAAAATCAGCCAGGATTCTGTCTGCCAGGTAGAGACTGGCATCCACTAGAAACCCAGATGCCCTCTTAAAGGGGCAGCACACAAAATCTCATACCTGGCCAGATTGAAGTGGACTGGAGTTGTGGGACGGACTGTGTTGTGTGGCTCCAAGGAGAGCGCAGAAGGGAAAGCTGCCATGGTGCCTGTGCTGAGTCCCAATCCCACACTGCCCACAGGCTGGACCCAGGACTCCCTCCCATACTGCAACATCCCGGGAAATGCAATAACCCCACCCTCTCAACTCCCTGTTACTCCCCATGCCCCGCCCTGCGGAGCTCACACCCTGCCCAGGAGTCAGCTGCCTGGGCCCCTGGGGAAGACTTTCTGGGAGGAGTGTGGAGGGTGAACTCAGGGGTTGTCAGAGACTGCGTTATGTGGCTCTGGGGTGGGGGCCACTCCCCTTATGTCCTGAGGGCTCTGTCTCCACAAGAGATTCACTAGCCCCAGACTCCCGACTCCACCCCCTGGGGGCCCTGCCATGTTCTTGCATTGCAGAGGAGTCAGCGGGCTGTGGTCAGCCTGGGCCCTTGGGGAAGACTCTCCTTGAAGGCTATGGGGAGGTCCCAGCAGAATCAGTGAGAGGCTGAGTTGTGCGGCTCTAGGGCAGAAGCCATTTTTCCTCTTGCACGTCCGTCCAGCGCTACAGATCCTGAGCAGAGTCCTCCCTTACACGGCCCATTTTTGGTCTCTTTGGACCTGATGAACGCTGATGCCCTCATCCTGATGACTCCCTGAGGCCCCGCCACACCACAGAGGTCTGAGGACACCCTGCAAGTGGCAGCTGGCCTTTGTGTACTCGGAGAATTTTGCTGAGTGGCTTCGGTCCCAGCACTGGTGTGGTTTGAATCTGTACCAGTCTGGTGAACAACACTCTCCTCCACCTGGAGACTCACTGAGAACCTACCTCACACAAATGACCCTATTAACCAAAACAACCTATAGATTCAAGGCAACTCCTGTCAAGATACCAATGGCGTATTTCACAGAACTAGAACAAGTAATCCAAAAATTTATATGGAACCACAAAAACCCCGAATAGATTCAGCAACACTGAGAAAGAAGAACAAAGTTGGTTTCACACTACCTGATATCAAACTATACTATAAGGCCATAATCATCAAAACAGCATGGTACTGGCATTAAAACAGACATATCGATCAATGGAACAGAATAGAGAGCCTAGAAATAACCCACACCTATATGGTCAATTAATATTTGACAGAGGAGGCAAGAGAACATACAATGATGTAAAGACAGTCTATTCAACATATGGTGTTGGAAAACTTGGACAGATACATGCCAAAAATGAAACTAGACCACCTTCTTATACCATATATAAGAATAAACTCAAAATGGATTAAAAACTTAAATGTAGGACTCCTAGAGGAAAATATAGGCAGTAAAAATCTCTGATATTTCTCTTAACAATATTTTTTTTCTGATATAGCTTCGTGGATAAGGGAAACAAAAGAAAAAATAAACAAATGGCAGTGAATCAAACTAAAGACAATTTGCACAGCAAAGGAAGCCATCAACTAAACAAAAAGACAACCTACTGAGAGGGAGAAAATATTCACCAATGGTACATCTGAAAAGAGTTAATATTCAAAATTTATAAAGCATTCATACCACTCGACATCAAAAAAATAAACAATCCTATTACAAAATGGGCAGAGGACCTGAATAGACACTTCTCCAAAGAGGACATATAGATGGCCAACAGACATATGCAAAGATGCTCAACTTCACTCATTGCCAGAGAAATGCAAATTAAAACCACAATGAGATATCACCTCACACCTGTCAGAATGGCTACCATCAATAAATCCATAAACAACAAGTGTTGGCGAGGATGGGAGAAACAGGAACCTTCATGCACTGGGGGTGGGAATGCAGATTGGTGCAGCCACTGCGGAAAACATTAAGGAGGACCCTCCAAAAATTAAAAGTGGAACTGCCTTATGACCCAGCGATTTCACTTCTGGTATTTGTATCTGAGGGAACCCAACACATTAATTCAAAAGAAAATATATACCCCTGTGTTCATTGCAGCACTGTTTATAATAGCCAGATATGGAAGCAACCCAAGTGCCCCTCAATAGATGATTGGATAATGTAGAAGTGGTACATATATACTATGGAATATTACTCTGCCATAAAAAAGAATGAAATCTTACTATTTGCAACAACATGGATGGACCTAGAGGATATTTTGCTAAATGAAATAAGTCAGTCAGAGAAAGACAAATACCATATGATTTAACTTGTATGTGGAATCCAAAGAACAAAATAAACAAACAAACAAAACAGAATCATAGACACAGGGAGTGGACAGGTTGCTAGAGGGGGAGGGAGTTGAGGGCCTGGGTGAAAAAAGAGAGGATTAAAAGTACAAATTGGCGGTTACAAAATAGTCACGGTGATGCAAAGTACAGCATAGGAAATATAGCCAATAATAATGTAATATCTATGTATGGTGCCAGGTGGGTACTAGAAACATCAGAGGGAACACTGTAAAGTATATGATTATGTAACCACTGTGCTATACACCTGACACTAATACCAAATAATGTTTTTAAAAACTAAAAATAAAATGTCCTTTGAAAAAAAAAGTGATGTCAAGGAAACACCCATTGTGTCCCTTTAAAATGTCTCCAAGAGACTGCTGAAAGATTCTTGAATGTATTTACATTAAAAAGAAAAGATTTGTACTTTTAT